AAGACTCACAGTCAGGAGGGGAGGCGCAAAGCCCTGTCCACCTGCAGCTCCCACATCACGGTGGTTGTCCTATTTTTTGTGCCCTGTATCTTCATGTATGTTCGACCTGTTTCTAACTTGCCTATTGACAAATCCATAGCTGTTTTTTATACAGTTGTCACTCCCATGTTGAATCCTTTGATCTATACCTTGAGAAATTCAGAAATGAAAAATTCCATGGAGAAATTGTGGTGCAAAATGTGAGCTAAAGACTGTTTAAGAATGTCTACATGATGAATGGGATGCTAATTCTAAAGCAACATAAACACACACATTTTCAGTAGAAAATGATGTGGTCCACTCAGTGGATTGTCCAGTGATTGGTTTCCATCATCAAAGCCATAATATATCAGAGTAAATAGGCTCAGAGATTAGAATCAGATTAATAGAAAGTTTCTTGAAGATGAGTAAACGACACAGACGTTTGTTTTCTTAAGAGTGAAGTTAGAATGCACCTCACCTTTTAGCTTTAGTTTCCTCAGTGGCAATTCAGATAGGACTTAGTGATTTTTACTGTACAAAAAGGAAACAATAATATAATCTGGGAAATTTATAATCATCCAGATTCATTAGAAAGGACTCTGGCCAATAAAATTTCTGGGAACAAAATAGAAGATTTTAAATGCAATTGCTCATTGTTGTACCAGAAATTTGTGTGTGTGTGTATATATATATATACACATACACATATAAAAATAAAATAAAAATGTGGTAAAAGGCTCTACAAAAAGAGTAAAAGAAAAAAAAGAAAGGAAAGAAAGCAATTGGTGGCAAAAAATGGTTTCCAATCCCTTAACTTCTTCCACTATTCCTCCCCTCAACTTTTCCCCCCACTGCCTAAAGTTGTAAGGTTCATTTCCAGCATAGTGTCTTGTGAGTATCACTGTTGCATTGGTTCACCCTTAGTCCTTGTTTTACCATTTTGTAATTCCCCTTCCAGTCCCCAAATCAGATAAACATATATACGAGATGCAGGGTACCAGAACCAAAAACAGTGACTACCAGTAATGAACCAGAGGGAAAAATAAGAAAAAGTAAAAAGAAAGAACTTGATACAGTACATTGACAAGAAAGGAAATGTGTATTTTTAAACTTGCATTATGCACACTATATTAAGACTAATTCTGTCCCTAAGTTCTATGTACTTTATACTCAGGGAGTATAGATGGCTGATGATACTTAATTTAGGTGATGATATGTTTCATGAACAGTTTTTCTATATGTGATGTGGTGATTTTGTTCAAACAATACAAGGTGAAGTTTGTAATCCTACTTTTATGACATTCCTCATTACTTGTGTGACTTTAATTTTCAAAGAATAATTCTCATTTTGACTTCTGTTTTATGAA